TGCACCAGCAGAGCACCGTGGGACACAGCTGCCTCCTCTCCAGTCCCTCCCGTCCCGCCCCCCAAAGCAGGAAGTACTTGGTGCTCCCCGTCCCCACCTATCTCAGGAAAAGCCTCGTTCACAGGCTGGGGGTGGGGTGAAGTTACCGGAGTCCAGAGGATGACAATAGAAAACAAAAGTCCTTTAACGTGACCGACAGCCAACACTTATCAAGAGTTACCTGCCCTAGCTAATGAAGTTGGACTTCCCTCCCTGCTGGGGATAGAACCCAGGAGTCCTGGCTCCCAGCCCCCATTGCTCTCACCCACTACACCCCACACTCCTCCCAGAGCCAGGGGGAGAACCCAGGAGTCCTGGCTCCCAGTCTTCCCACTCTAACCATTCAACCTTGCGGATGGAGATGGCCCCATCACTCTGGACGCTCCTATGAGAAGTTGTCTGATGTAGGTCATTGGCTCCTCTGTGTGGGCTCTGAACCCCGCCAGCCCAGCTCCAATCTCCGCCGATCTCCCCAGTGCAGCCCGCCCCGGCGGGTGGATCCCATTTGCAGCCCATAGCCAGCGTCTGAGCTCCTTTAGCCAGTTGTCCCACTCTGCAGCGGGGAGAGATCGGCGTTGATCCCGATCCACTCGGGGAGGAAGGCGGCCTCAGGTTTGAAGATCTTGAGGAAGGGGGAGTCGGGGAGGGTGTAGTTGGCCAAGTAGATGGTCTCTCCCCCAGCCAGGTAACCGGCCCAGATGCCGAAGGTCCCAATGGTCATGATCGTGTGGTTGCAATGGACCAAGAGAGCAAAGTCCCTCCCCGGTGACGACTCCTTCCCGTCCCCCGAGAAATACACGTCCCCCCGTGAGGCATCGATGTTCTCCTGGCACCACTCCATCCCGTTGCTGGTCACCACGAAGACCGGCTCCTGGTACTTGGCCCGAAAGTAGCCCATGGCCTTCTCCAGATAGGCCTTGTCCGCCACTACCCCCTTCCAGTGCTCGGCCATCACCTGGACATAATCCCCCCTCCGGACATGGATGCCCACGTAGGTCACGTTCCGGCGCTGCCCGCGCAGCCCGGCCAGGTACTGGTTGGCCTCCTCCTTGACGTGGTCATGGAAGGAGAATTCCTGGAGGATCTCCTGCCGGAGGTGGTGGTAGAAGGTCCAGGAGCAGGGGTAGCCCGTCAGCT